GGAGCAGATGTAGAAAAGAATGACTCCTAAGCGATTGAGGTGTTCTGTTGTTGGATGTAATAATGAGCATAGCAGTCGTCATTTACTCCCGACATCTGAGCCGCTGAACTCGCAGTGGCTTACGTTTGTTTCTGAAGGGAATGCGCCCTCGATCGACATAAATGCATCTATGTTCGCGCAAATCATTCGTGATCCAGCTTCACCTACAGAAGAAGTGAGTATAAGGTTTTTTAATGAATCTTTGCAAATCGCCTTTCCTAATAATGTGCTAATTAGCAAGTTTCACGATGAATGCGGCTAAAGTAAACAGTCTCTCTGAGAGCGGCTCGGAAGAGAGGGGCGGGGTCAGCAGAGCTCATTATCATTTAAAGGAAAATGCTACGAAACGGCTTGCTCTGAAAAGAGCTGTTTTTGAGAGGGCATAAAAGGTGTTTTTTACACTACCATTGAGAAATTTTTTGAGAAAGAATCATATCAACTTGTGGAAAATGGGCATCCGATGACCCCTTTAAATACACAAACTTGTATGTGTCAAAAATGCCCATCTTTGCAAGTATCCTCTTAAACACAGTAATTCAGGTCTTAAGTGAAAGCAAACAGCTGAGAAAGAAAACACACGTGTAACAGTACATTGGATCCGGGCAGCTCTTAAAGTGACAGCAGTCTAATATTCCTGCTGTCTGTCATTTATGTTAATCAAACAACAAAATAGAGAAAATCTCTTAAGTGAAAGCAAACAGCTGAGAAAGAAAACAGTGTAATGGTATATTGTATCCGGGCAGCTCTTAAAGTGACAGCAGTCTAATATTCCTGCTGTCTGTCATTTATGTTAATCAAACAACAAAATAGAGAACATCTCTCATTGCTCTTGACTAAATCACTTTTGTAACTTTAATAAGAAGAAATATATATTTAATTTACACAGTGAAGAATATGCAATGTTTTTATTTGATTACTTTATACAGTGTAGCATTTCTTATTTATTTGTTCTGCTGTAGTTTTTTGTCCTATTGCTTGTAATTAGTTTCTTATTAGTTTCCTGGCTGTTTACTTGTCTTCAGTGAGCTTGTTTTATTTATTTATTTATTTATTTATTTATTTTTCAATTAGGCTAATATTAGGTTTTTGTGATATTGACACTGGTGACAAGAATTATGAAATTTCAATGGTATCAAAAATGTTGATATCATAAAGACCTTATTTAAAGCAATAATAACTATATTGTGATATACAGTATATTGTTACAGTGAAATTAACGACTTATATGATATATATGACTTATATGATATATATATATATATGATATATATATATATGATATATATATATATGATATATAATACATATAAATATAAGATTTTGGTCTTATAGCCCACCCCTATTTTGTACATATACATACTTTATCATAATGAAATACAAAATAACATTATGAAATAATAAGTTATCCAGTTGGACAGTCCTTAATTGCGACAATCAAGGTGTTGCTTGCAGTTTCATCATGTTTTCAATTTCAGCATAAGTCAGTTCCATGCTGTGTATACTGTACGTAATGTGATGTTATGTCCTGTGTCAGTATAGTGTGACTGTATTTGTGAGTGTGCGTGTGTTTACCTTCTTTTTGTTTGTTTCTTTTTTTCTGTGCGTGTGCCACTGTATGTGTCTCTGCAGTCAACGACATAACTGGAGGAAAAGGTAAAAATGCCCCGCAATCTCTGACAGCTCCCTAAACCTCTGTGTCTCCCTGCAGCCATTATATCTCCCATTTTACTCTTTAAAATAAAAAATGAACCTGCCGTCCACCCAAACACCCAGTTTAACAGTCTTGAAGTCAGAGACTGAGAAACCTGTACCTCTTTCTCCTATGTGGTTTTGTGTCTATATGTGTTTTCATCCTGTCCGTTGCATTTATGCTCATGTTGATGTGCTAGTGTTGGTTTATTGTTTGAAATATTTAACCTTTCCTGTCTCTCTTTCTTTTTCTGCAGTAAAACAGAGCGCCCCCCATCACTGAGTTTGTTTCCTGGCGGAGATGGCATGGTACGTGGGGGTCCTGGGGGGGCTAGAATGGTTTCGTCAGACATCTGGCATTCCAGCGATCTCAGCAGACCTGTCTACGCCCCTGGCTACCAGGTGTGACAGATATGACTCCGCCCCAAAGCGTCAGGGGAGGAGTCATGATAATCATCATTCTCTCAGCCACGCCCCCTTATGCCTGCTTGTGTCAAGATCAGGTTCATGGGTGGTTTTTTGATGGACACCAGCAGGCCTCCAAGGGTCCATCATTTTGGTTTAGCCGTCCATCCTCTGCCTTGTCCTGTGACGTCTTTGTCTTATTTTAGCCATCTGAAATGAACAGATGTGTTTTAAAAAAGCTGATTTAATGAACTGAATCTCACCTACATGAAGCATCTGTCAGCTGTGCACACATAACTATACATCTGTTCTTTGAAGGAAGAGAAAAAAACGTGATTCTTCACTTCCTGTTTTCCAAATGACTCAAGTCACATGAGTATAAAGCAGTTTGAGTTATGTTTGACAAAGCTTATGTTTTTTTTTATCTGTGGACCTTATATGTTGCCATAGAGTTATTGTAAAGATAAATATCTTGAAACTGGAAGGATGTAGTGGTACTTCACAGATATTTTATTATTTGTAAATGTTTTACATTTGCATGTGTGTATTTGTATTACAATATATTTTTGTACCGTACAAGCCTTGCTAGTAAGTATAAATGTTTATCAATCAAACTAGTCAAAGCGATACCAAATTAGCTAGTTTAGAAGGTTAAGTTTAGAAGTTTAGCAGAGTGTGTTAATTATTAAAATATGTATGTGATATGTTGTTCTCTCTGTGTTAAGGAGGATGGCTCAGATTCAGACTCGGTCGCAGCCACACCCAGCAGCACAGGGAGCAAATCAAACACTCCCACTTCGTCTGTTCCCTCGGCAACAGTTACCCCTCTGAATGATGGGCTGGTATCGGTGGGAGGGTTCGACATGTCCCGGGGGCCGGGCCGCAAGAATGCAAAGCGTCTTAGTAGAAACATGGAGGTGCAGGTCTCTCAGGAAACCAGGAACGTCAGCATTGGTGAGAAAGGAAGAACTGTGACAAAGAATAAACACTGAATAAAAGAACAAAGAAAACTAATGATTGACCGATTAAGTTTTTTTTTAAAGGCAGATGCCAATGCTGATGTTCATCAATATATCGATGTATGTTAACATATTCCCGTTGAAGAGTTTGGGGTCAGCATGATTTTTTTATGTTTTTAAAAGAAGTCTCCTTTGGTTACCAAGGCTGCATTTATTTGAACAAAAATACAGTAAATACAATATCATATTATTTGAAATAGATTTTTCGTAACAATGAAAAGTATTTACAGTCACTTGTACACAGTTTAATGCATCCTTACTGAATAGAAGTATTTTAAATCTTACTGACTCCAAACTTTTAAATGTTTTACAATTTTATTTTATTCTAAACTTTTATATTTTAAAGGAAATTTAAAGATTGTAAATAGCACATCCGCGACATTGTTTCAATAAAATTAATAATTTTAATATTTTTTAGATAATATTTACCACATATTTAATTCATTTTAAATAGTTAAAATTAATCATATAATAATTTGATTATATAGTAATCATATAATGATAACAGTAATTTAACTTGACAAGTAATAAATATTCTCCTTGATTTTGTTCTGTAATCTTGTTATAGTATAGCTGATGCTAATAGGTATCATAAGGTAACATAAAAATATCAGATATCAGCCTTGCTGATAAATTGACCGGCCACTACTGGAAACCCCTCCAGTCACTTTGCATTATAAGTAAAGAAACAATTTGTACCGTTTCATGTGCATCACACATAATGCATTGATTAAATCCAAACATGAGTTGACAATGCCAAATGAAAGCATGAGACATTTGTGTGCATTCTACAGATTGCAGAAGTCAGGAAAATGACTGTCTTCATTTAATTTTCATTTGTGTGTGTGTCTGTAGGTATGGGCAGTAGTGATGAATGGTCAGAGTTTCAGGAAATTATAGACTCAACACCAGAGCTAGATATGTGCTTGGACCCTCGAATCTTTGGAGGAGGAAACAGGTAGACAGATACATATCATTCACACAATTAAATACTGAATAAAAGCACAAAACACCCGATCAATACAAAAAGACCATCAAAGTTAAAGTTCTAAATCATTAAAAAAATGCTGTTTAGAAAGTGGCTTTGTGTAATACAAAGAATTCAGCAAAAAACATTCAAGCTTTGAAGTGAAATAAGGCACAGAAATAATGAGGAAAGCTCTTGTTCCTTTGAAGTCCTTCTCAGGGCATAGTGAATGAGGCATTCGGCATCAACACAGACTCTCTGTACCATGAGATCAAAGACGCCAAGTCGGACATCATCGGTGATGTGGACGCAGGAGCGGAACTTCTCGGTAAGCTTCATCGTTCAAATGATGACCCTTTATTAAACATTTTACCTCTGCAGTTGATTGACAGTTTCTCATAAATGAAGGTTACCTTGGTTTATATGTAACCTGCATTTAAGATCAATGATATTTCATTTTCTGTTTATATTTTAAGTACCATTGCTAAGCGTACAGTGGCTAAGGGCCTTTCTTCCCTACACTTTGAATTGCATGCCTTTTGTCAGGAAGCAACACTGCTGGATATATCCCCAAAGCAAGGTCTTTTGGGATATCATGCTTGCTTCATGGCTGTATCGCCTGCCCCTAAGCACATGTTGGTCTGATGAAGTTATCCTGAGTTGTTTCATTTGAGTAATTCCCGTTATTTATGTTGGCAGTTTTCTGATTTGTTTTGTTTCATTATCAAGGTAGAGCTGTTGATTTGTTTGATCTCAGTGTGAAGGTGGATCTTTCTTTTGATTGGCCGTCTCACTCACTGACCCTTGACCCCTCTCTGTGCTTCCTTCCTGTGTGTGCTTCTCTCGGCCACGCCCCTAGGGGAATTCTCAGGTGTGTATCTGATCACTGATTGGTTGGTATTTTTAGTTCTCATTCTTTTTTGCTCTTCATGACCTTTGCATGGACTTAACATCAACATGAAACACAATTAGTCATATTACTTTAAACACATTAAGCTGTACCTCAGAAACACAACATTAGACTATAGGACAAAAGACTATATAAAACGTTTAAAAATACACTACTGTTCAAACGTTTGGGGCCAGAAGGATTTTTATGTTTTGAAAGAAATTAATACTTTTGTTCATCAAGGAGTTTTAGTTGATTAAAAGTTACAGTGAAGACATTAACAAAAATGCAGATTTCGAATAAATTGAACTTTCTATTCATCAAAAAAATATATCACCACTACCACAAACATTGTAAGCAGCAAAAACATTTTCAGCACTGATAATAATAAGAAATGTTTCTTCACCAAATCAGTATATTAGAATGATTTCTGAAGGATCATGTGACATTAAAGACTGGAGTATGTTGGCTTTGCCACCACAGGAATAAAATGCATTATGATAGAAAACAGTTATTATAAATGGCAATGATATTTCACAATATTGATGTATTACTGTGTTTTTGATCAAATAAATGCAGTCTTGGTGAGCATAAGAGTTATTTTAAAAACCTCAAAATCTTCCTGACCACAAACCTTTGAATGTGTATGTGCATGTCTTTAATAAATAGCTGTTTTGTTAAAGGCAGTCCCTCAAAAATATTATATATTAAAAAATACTTTTTGATGTAATCGTGATAGCTGGTCATTTGTTTTATTGATTTTGCATTATAAAGGAATTATCAGGTGTGTGTGTGTGATGATAAATATCTAACATGTACCTGTCCATTTGTTTTTCACTCTTCTCTTAATCTTTTCTTTTAATTCCATCTCTCTTCATTTCCATCTTCTTATCTTCTTATTTTAATCTTCTCTTCTGTCTTCACATTCATTCCTTTACTCTTTCTGTCATTTGGCTGCCTCCTCCTTCCTCTCCACTTTCCTTCTGTTTCCTCCTCGGCTCTCTGTTTCAGTCCGGGATGATTTCTTTGGTAAGGCTCATAGCCTCCTTTTCCCCCTCGTGTTATTTTCAGTAGGACATTGTGATACGTTCCTTATTTGTAGCTATGCTTTGGTGAGATGTTCTCCTGTGCTTCTGGTCTTCTAATCCTGTTAACTTCGGCTGCTCAGTACTGTGCTTTCGAATGCATGGCTTTACGGCTCATATGAATCATATTACCAAGTCAGTTTGGATGTTCTACAGTTCACTTATCAAGTTAGACTGTGATTATACCCCTTTAGATGTTTTGTAAATAAAACCCTTAAAGGTCATTGTTCAGATATTAGAATGATTTCTGAAGGATCATGTGACATTAAAGACTGGAGTATGTTGGCTTTGCCACCACAGGAATAAAATGCATTATGATAGAAAACAGTTATTATAAATGGCAATGATATTTCACAATATTGATGTATTACTGTGTTTTTGATCAAATAAATGCAGTCTTGGTGAGCATAAGAGTTATTTTAAAAACCTCAAAATCTTCCTGACCACAAACCTTTGAATGTGTATGTGCATGTCTTTAATAAATAGCTGTTTTGTTAAAGGCAGTCCCTCAAAAATATTATATATTAAAAAATACTTTTTGATGTAATCGTGATAGCTGGTCATTTGTTTTATTGATTTTGCATTATAAAGGAATTATCAGGTGTGTGTGTGTGTGTGTGATGATAAATATCTAACATGTACCTGTCCATTTGTTTTTCACTCTTCTCTTAATCTTTTCTTTTAATTCCATCTCTCTTCATTTCCATCTTCTTATCTTCTTATTTTAATCTTCTCTTCTGTCTTCACATTCATTCCTTTACTCTTTCTGTCATTTGGCTGCCTCCTCCTTCCTCTCCACTTTCCTTCTGTTTCCTCCTCGGCTCTCTGTTTCAGTCCGGGATGATTTCTTTGGTAAGGCTCATAGCCTCCTTTTCCCCCTCGTGTTATTTTCAGTAGGACATTGTGATACGTTCCTTATTTGTAGCTATGCTTTGGTGAGATGTTCTCCTGTGCTTCTGGTCTTCTAATCCTGTTAACTTCGGCTGCTCAGTACTGTGCTTTCGAATGCATGGCTTTACGGCTCATATGAATCATATTACCAAGTCAGTTTGGATGTTCTACAGTTCACTTATCAAGTTAGACTGTGATTATACCCCTTTAGATGTTTTGTAAATAAAACCCTTAAAGGTCATTGTTCAGTGTCACAATAAAGAGGAGATTTCACTGACTTAGTATTAAATAGCTACGGAAGTAATAAAATGTACTGGAATTCTTTGTGATTGTGGTGTAATTTCAAACAATCGTGGTGTAGTTTTGAATCAGCTGTCCCTTAGTCTGTTTATCTGAGACTTGGAAAGAGTTCATGGTGGTCTTTGCTCCTGCTAACACTCTATATCCCACAGGTATGGGGAAAGAGGTGGAAAATCTACTAACAGAGAACAAACAACTACTGGAGACCAAGTAAGACAGAAAGACAGACAGAATGTGTGTTTATTTGCCCGTGTATATATGCGTCTTCATGCTCTAACGGAGTCATTTGATGTCTGTAGGAATGCCCTGAATATTGTGAAGAATGACCTGATTGCTAAAGTTGATGAGCTGTCGAGTGAACAGGAAGTTCTCCGGGAAGAGCTGGAAACAGTGAAACAGTCCAAGAGCAAAGTGGACCAGAGAGTGAAAGAACTGGAGGAGGATCTAAAGAGGTCTGGATCTTTAGCCCATGTTTGTTTCCACTGAATTTTTCTGTCTCAACATTGACGTTTATTGACAGATTTTAAGATTGGTCCTTAAAAACTGTTTTAACCGTTAAATGCATACCTCAGGTCTTTAGTGACCCGGGACGTCATTCACAACCCTCTCCCTCCTTCATTTTTTAAAGTTAGACATCAACATTCTTAGTATTCCTCAATCTATTAATTATAAACAATATAACAAGAAAAAAATTATAAAAGAATATCTGTTTTCTGATTAATTCTTTTGTAAAAAATGTATGCCAGAATCAGAATTTAAGCGAATATCATTTGTTATTTTAATGAGCGCTGTCTCTGTGCTGTGATGCGGTCGGAAACCAGATTGAAAATTTGTCCAGGTATTTGTCCAGGTATCCATTTGAGTTTAAGTATATGTTCAGCTGATTAAAGAGTGCGAGTGTTGTTTAAGTCACTGTTTATAAGATTTGAGAAGAATGACTGTCTAGCTTTGCCTAGTTCCACATTGAAAGCACAAAGGCTGTCTTTCGTGGTATTAAGTCAGTCCCAAAGAGTTTTTAGTTTTAGTGTTTGTGCTAGAAATGTGTTGTTTGAGCACTGTGCTGATCTGCTGAAGTAAAAATCTTAGAAAAATCAGAGAAAAGTACAGAAATAGGAAGCAAAGTGCAGAGCAGTAAGCAAGAACGTCCGAATGGTAGCGAAGCCGGAAGCAGGGTCGCTAGCAACCCTAAGTATGTAATAGTGAAAGTAAGTTTTTCCTGCTCAACAATAATTAAATATCTGATGACTCAATAAGTGCAATTCACCTTTATTCCCCAAAGTGCCACTGTTTGGTAGACAACAATGATGTGATGTTCCACTCATAATTACTGCAGGCATAAAACAAATAATATCATCTGCAAAAATTGCACTGGCTTGAATGGCTTCTACTGCAGAGCAATTACTGAACGCAATGAAATATGAGTGTCACTGTCATTTGATGCTGGATGTGGTGAATAGCGATCAAAATTTTGTTTTTGAAGATGTTGAAAATGAGAGTTTTGAGAATATGGTTGAGATCACGAATATGAGGCAGATGCTGAATGAACTGGGGAAATGCACAGTGAGGGTATAATCGTCTGCTCAAATCGAACCCTTCCAAGTTTAAAAAGGTAACAAAATATGCTTTATTTTATTCTTTTGTAATTGTTATTAAAATATCAGGAGAGTCCTGCCACCACTCCTCCCTAATATTTGATTATTACTGCTGCACTCCATTACATGTCACTTTCTGTGTTGTTAGGATAACAAAATCGTGAAAAAGTCATTTTTAGGCTGGTCTGCCTCAGTGCTCTAACATCTTGTTTATCATTTATGTGATTTATGTATTTTGCAACTGAATGAGACAAGACAAGAAACATTTACAGAGCCTTTGTTGTGAATGTGTGCATATTTCAAAATAAAAATATTATTTACGGCCTATTCAAACTACCACTATCATGAGTTTAATCTAGGACTTGTTTTAGGGGCCTTTCGCACAAAATGCGTTTTTGAGTTTTGCAAAAAACATAAGACGTGTAACAGTGAAATGGGCAGAAAATGCAAGGTTTCACGTCTTTTAAAAGTTATATATTTCAGTTTCTATAACGCCGTGTCATGTGTGAGTCACCGGAAAATATGTGACATTTGAGCACAATGGTCAAACGTGTCCATTTAGCACATGCTTACACAGACAATAGACAAAGCAGAGCAGTGGAATGCAAAAACATGTTCTGTGTGTCCGAAAGTGTCTTTTTAAGAGTCACTGTGACTCCAATCTAATTAAAGTCTGAATGTCTCCCTTTGATTAAAGGTTGAGAGCTGAAGCTTTAGGAGCATCTCAGGACTCTAAAGATGAGGGTGTGGAGGATGTAAGTCAAACACTTCAGTCTCATTTCAAACACTCCTTTTTCTGCTCCAAAAAGTAGTGAGCTGCCTCACTGATGTGAATAGGTAGTAACTTTAATCATGTTTTCTCCAAAAACACCTTGTTTTCGCTCAGATCAGTGACAGCATGGTATATCCCAGAATGCACTGTGATGAGCTCAGTGAAAAAATCATGCTTACTAGGTTTTGGAACAGAGCTCTAAAATCTCAAATACCCAAAAAATGTTTTTTTTTTCTTACATTATTAATAATATTAAAACCATTTATGACCTTTAAAGTGAGAATTTAAATGTATTACATTAAATCAAGTTGTAAACACAGTCAGTGGTTGGATATGAGAAATTGTACTACCAGTCACTTCTACAGGCTTTGCTTTTTTAATTAAATTGCTATGCGCAGTAAACCTTTAACCTTTTCGCAATGCTTTAGGAACCTCATATTTGATGCTGTGAAATGCTGAAGGCCTGATGCACTAACCTCTGCTTCACTGCTGCCGTGTTTTGTGGTGCTGCTCTGTTCTGTGTGGCTCTGTGGTGCAGTACTCATCTCCACTGCAGGACGATGTGGCCATGACGCAGAGACGACGGTTCACACGTGTAGAGATGGCCCGCGTGCTGATGGAGCGCAACCAGTACAAGGAGAGACTGATGGAGCTTCAGGAGGCTGTGCGCTGGACCGAGATGATCAGGTGAGGGAGAAGCAGACACAGACATCCAAATCAACTCTCATTCAGACACTTACTTTTATCTGGCATCAAAGCATGTAAACAAAATCTCAGACATTTGCACATCTAAATGACTTTATCAATACAATTCTCATAAAAACATGGTCGATAGGGAGTAAAAATGCATTAATGCTTTGTAATGTAACATAAAATGTTACAAAACACCCTAATGTACGTAACTGATTACATACACAGCACAACTATTTTTAACATTGATAATTATAAGAAATGTTTCCCGAATGCCAAATCAGCATATTATAATGATTTCTGAAGAATCATGTGACACTGAAGACTGGCGTAATAATGCTGAACATTCAGCTTTGCATCACAGAAACAAATTACATGTACAGTTATTGTAATAATATTTCACGGTAATGTGTTTCTGATCAAATAAATGCAGCTTTGGTGAGCATAAGATACTTATTTCAAAAATATTAAATAATCATACCAACCCCAAACTTTGATTTGATTTGTAGTGTAAAACAAAAAAAATAGATGCATCATGCAGGGACTTCTGGGAATATGCTTTTACTGTCCTTTTACATAGTTTTTTATTTATTTAAAGAAATCTTTTTAACAATAATTTACTTTAAAAGCACATGTATTTTCCTGTTGAGTACTAAATTAATTGTAAGTTCCAAACATTTACAGTAAAATTATACATAATGCAGTGTTCGATTTACAGTTTTCAATGTTTTTTAGTAAGGTAACTTATAGTTAACCAATAAATAGGTTTTTACTGTAGCATTTTTACAGTCTTATGTAAAATAAATTATCGATTTTTCTTTTATGCCAAAAATCATTAAGATATTAAGTAAGGATCATGATATATATATATATATATATATATATACATACATATGTGTGTGTGTGTGATGTATATATATTATACAATGCAGACTTCATTTTCTGTTTATCCATTTCATTCCACAGGGCATCTCGAGAGAGTCCTCCTCTACCAGAGAAGAAGAAGTCCATAATCTGGCAGTTGTGAGTATTACAGCGGTTTTAGACATTTTGTCTTTGTGTTTAACTCTTAAATCAGTATGTAAGGAAAATCATGGGTTTGATTTCACACAGCTGAAATATCTTAATGATGTTAAAACAGTTTTAGCACTAATTTTATCATTTGCATTTTATCTGTTTTCCTGTTCCTTTTCCTACTCACTTTGCTCTTTGTCTCTCTCCAGCTTTGCACGTCTTTTTAGCTCATCTGCGAGTCCTCCTCCAGTGAAACGGCCGTACACCAGTGTCAACATTCACTACAAGTCTCCCTCTCCTGCTGGCTACAACCAGAGACGCTCCCAAACCATGTGCCAGATCTCCACCTCCAGCTGCATACTGGAGTTCATGCCTGAAGAGTGAGAGGAAACATGCATACCTGACTGTGTCTTTGTCCCATCTGTCCCCACATCCTCATCCACACATTGTAGCTGTCTGTTTGTCCTCTGTCCCCCCAAGTCTACTCTCTCTTTCTTCTGCTCAGGCAAGCTGACTCCTGCTAAATGCTGTGTGCTAATGCTGCATTTGACTGTTAGCTGCTGCACACTCACGCACACGTTTACTTACAGGAGCAGTTATCCAAGGAAATATCATAGACTTCTATTGCTTTAAATAAAACTAATAATAAAAACTATTTCTACTGATTAATTCTAGCATTATCTCTAAAACAAAACTTGAATTTTTTGAATTTTTGGCATTTATTTAATAATTACTTAATTTAGGTTGTGGGGTTTAGTTCTCAGGGAACATGCATAATGATATTAATAACTGTATTTTTAATTCGCTTTTATTTTTTTACTTTCAGTTTTCATTTTAATTTTAGTTAAGTTAAGTTTTAGTTTGTGCTTTTTGCTTATTATATTTCTTTTTAGTTTCATTTTTATTTTAGTTTAGTTTCTGTATTTTTAGTACTTCAACTTATATTATTTCAGTTAGTTGCAAAGGCAACATTTCTATTTTTCATTTAGTTTTTTGTGTTAGGTTTTTTAAGTTTTTCATCTAATAAAAATGTTTAATTTTATTTCAGCTTGATGAAAATGATTTTTAATAGTTTTAGTAAAGAATAGCAACACTGCTGCCAAATGAATAAATGTAAATGTTTTATGCATTCATTATGTCTTATTTGTCAGAACATTTTAAAACATCAGTTCACATCAACATATACATATCAAATGTTCTTTTTTAAATCTGTTTGCCTCGCCCTCCATTAGCATTAAATAGCATCTGCCAAAATCATAAATGTAAATGAAATATAACATTTTCACCTCACGCAGTGTGTCTGGCATTTCTTTTTGGCCTCGGCTGGCTGGCTGGTTCTCTCGCTCTTTCGCTGACTGCTCCCTCTCTCTTTCTCTTCGCCCTGTTAGACTGCCCAGTAACGGTGTTGCGTCTCTCCTCAGCGATTCTGCGCTCTGTACTCGCAGAGAGCAGCGTCGAGAGCAGTACCGACAGGTGCGCGAGCACATGCGCCGGAAGGACGGCCCCATGCAGACCTGTGGCTGGAGTGTCCCGTCCCGATTGAAACAGGTATCTGCTCCTATCTTGACCCTTGACCCCTGATCTCTCTAAGCAGATTATCTCCACATAGAGACCGAAGTGGCTCTGTTTTGTCAGCAAGTCAAATACAAGAGAAAAAAATAAATAAAGATGGACCCAAATGCCCAAAGGGGCGTGTCTTAGTTTAGCTCCTCCCAATATAAGCAAAGGCATCTGAGTTTATGTGAGGTGATGAATTGCTTGTTGAAGATGTGCAAGAGCAGTTTAGTGAAAAATAAAAATAGTTTAAAAAAATGAATTAGCTACACTACAAGATACTGACAAAAAGTGGCAAAGTATGTAACAGTATCAGATAGTTATAAGATAAATATACAGGTAAAGTCTGCAGATAGAGAGCTTTCATCTACCATAAAAACTATATATTATGGTGAAACTTGTGAATCTAGAAAAAGTAAATAAAATTGTGATGAACAGAATTTCACGTAATATTTCACAAGAAAAATGCAAGGGTTAAAAGGATAGTGTCAATGATAGTGTTATTAATTAAAACTAAAACTATTCAAATGTTTTTTGTTAATTTAAATAAAGCAATTATATATATATATGTAGTATAAATGTTTTAGAATTTTTTTATAAAAGACAAAAATTAGAAATGTTGCCTTGGCAACTAACTAAAATGAAATAAGTTTAAATAATTAAGCTGAAGCACTGAACTGACTACAATGAAAAAATAAAATTAGAGAAATTAAGAAATTATAGGTACATTTAAATATAAAATTGTAAATTTTTCTAAAAAAAAGACAAAAACAACCAAATTTAAACAAATTCTTGAGTTGAATTACTGAAATAAATGAACTTTTCCACGACATTCTAATTTATTGAGATGCACCTGTAGTATAAATGTTTTAGATTTTTTTTTTATAAAAGACAAAAATTAGAAATGTTGCCTTGGCAACTAAAATGAAATAAGTTTAAATAATTAAGCTGAAGCACTGAACTGACTATATTGAAAAAATAAAATTAGAGAAATTAAGAAATTATAGGTACATTTAAATATAAAATTTTACATTTTTCTAAAAAAAAAAGAAGACAAAAACAACAAAATTGAAACAAATTCAAATTAATATATATATATATAAATTGTTTTTCAATTGTATTTGCACTGTGATTTGTTAATTTTATCAGATAATTGCTTATTTACATGAACTGTGCAAATAAACTGTTTAGAGAAAATCATTTAGGCTTCCCAACACTATATATGAGTGACAGAAAAGTGAGCGTTTGCTCACTGTCTTTGCATATTTTTCTGTAAAGCTGAAGACCGTAAAATACAATGATTTAGCGCTTTGTCCCGCTAACAACTTTTAACTATTATAATTGGTTTAACATGTTCGGTGCCACATCGTCCATCTGAATTCTTGCTAAGTGGTAACCAGTGGTAACACTGGTTAGTCTGGAATTGTTTGTTGTTTTATGGAACTAGTTGACTAGTCCCCATTGTGCTGGTTTCTGGAGTGGCAACAGTGTTAGGGTTGCCACGGTGACAGTGTGTTTGTCAGGGTTGCCGTGGTGACAGTGTCGCCGTGGCTCTAACTGTGATCTCCTACAGAATGGCTCGCAGGCGGACAGTGCTCAAGATGCCACAGCGAAGAGGACGCAGGCAAGTCTGAGCGGCAGAGGACCAGCATGCACCTCTCCCACCCCCTGTCCCTTTAACTCCCGGCCCTAACCTGACTCAGCCTCAGTCAGCAAATCATAACGTAGTAGACGCAGCAGAAAGCTGACATAGCAGAAAATAATGTCTCTGCTAAGTTGAATATATCTTTAACAATGAAACCTCTGGTGTTTTATAGCCATCGCCATGCTTTCCTGTTGTTCCGCTAACACTATCAGGTTAACACATTATTTACTGCATTTTAGACATTTGGCCTATTTTACAGTCGCTTACAACCTACATTGATATAAGTCGTATGCCAGTCATCATAATTTATATGTCAGCGTTGTTGCAAGACAGCCTGAAATGCAAATGTAGTACCATGAAAGTGTAATTCAAATACAGTGGTACGTGAATATGGTAATCAATCAGCGCTTGATATGCAATAGTATATTGGAGTACCATAGTATAACCATCTGATACCACTACTGTACCATGGTATCACCTGAATACGGTTTTGTAAGAGAAACTTTCAATGATTTCGACTAAATAGGACAACACTTTTTGTAATAGTACTATATTGTGTGAAAAGGCAACCGTTCTGCTAAATTTCAGCTTAATTTTAACTTTAAAAAAAAGTCACATTAAATTGTTAAAAAACCCTAAAATTTAAAAAGGTCATATATGTCATATGTTCTGATTTCATGTAATAGGAAGCAGGTTTAATACATATATTTCTTTCCATTCAACATTTTTTATATTGATTAGCTAAGTAATGCAATGGGCATAGTTGATTACTATTACAATTTAATTTTAAAACTTAGTTTGGTCCCTTTTATATATATATATTTTTTTTTCAGAAAGCTGACATAGCAGAAAATAATGTCTCTGCTAAGTTGAATATATCTTTAACAATGAAACCTCTGGTGTTTTATAGCCATCGCCATGCTTTCCTGTTGTTCCGCTAACACTATCAGGTTAACACATTATTTACTGCATTTTAGACATTTGGCCTATTTTACAGTCGCTTACAACCTACATTGATATAAGTCGTATGCCAGTCATCATAATTTATATGTCAGCGTTGTTGCAAGACAGCCTGAAATGCAAATGTAGTACCATGAAAGTGTAATTCAAATACAGTGGTACGTGAATATGGTAATCAATCAGCGCTTGATATGCAATAGTATATTGGAGTACCATAGTATAACCATCTGATACCACTACTGTACCATGGTATCACCTGAATACGGTTTTGTAAGAGAAACTTTCAATGATTTCGACTAAATAGGACAACACTTTTTGTAATAGTACTATATTGTGTGAAAAGGCAACCGTTCTGCTAAATTTCAGCTTAATTTTAACTTTAAAAAAAAGTCACATTAAATTGTTAAAAAACCCTAAAATTTAAAAAGGTCATATATGTCATATGTTCTGATTTCATGTAATAGGAAGCAGGTTTAATACATATATTTCTTTCCATTCAACATTTTTTATATTGATTAGCTAAGTAATGCAATGGGCATAGTTGATTACTATTACAATTTAATTTTAAAACTTAGTTTGGTCCCTTTTATATATTTTTTTTAAAGCTGTACTTGCAAAATATATAATATTCTTGAAATAAAAGGCCACTTAGGTGAACTAAAAGAAAATACACTTTCATGACTGTTTCTGAACACACTTAAGTAATCTTATAAAACAATATTAAAAAGTTTTACTTTAAAGTATTGCAACTTCATCATTATAAATATGGAATTGCAAATATATTTAAATGACAGGTTTCAATAGAATTTATATTTAAGCATATTTACCATATAGTTTGTAGTTTATCATACCTGCTTGTCAGTACATTTGTCAGTATAGTTTAACCCTATTTCAAAAACCATAAACAGTGTGAATTAAAAGTATGTTAAAGTGTACTTCTTTATCACAAGGGTTGCCTTTTTAAAGATAGTAAAGATAGATGGTTATTCAGATCTAGTATGTACGCAGAACTCTGATCTAACAGTTTCAAACAAATTCCAGATGTCTAAAATGTAACGAAAGCTCATTTTAATATAATCACAATTTAATATTTCATTCTATACAGGCAACATAGTCTTAGATGAAAGTAAATTAATTCAGATGGTAAGAAATACTATCTTGTCAGTGTTGTGTAACATGATATATGCTGGTCCGTATCAAACCGTCCTCCATCTTAGAAACACTTGAATCATGATTTGCTGCTCTCTCTGTCTCTCGGTGGCATTTGCTGACTATACAGTAGATTGACTCCTGTCATTGCGCATGCGTCTGCCTTGTAACCCTCTAACAGACTTTTATCTGCTGCTGCTCTGGTTTGCAGTTCTTGGTTTCCCCTTTCTCTGTCTGCCCTGGATCAAGGCAATCTTAACCAGGGCATGATGGGAGCTCTGAGTATGACTTGTAGTGTGTGACAGTGACCTTATTGACAAAGGCCTCTTCCTGTGTCCTCACAGGCCAATGAGAAGGAGGATAATCGCATGAAAAATGTCCCTGTGCCAGTGTACTGCCGCCCTCTGGTGGAGAAAGACCCCAACAGGAAGGTAAAGGATACACACAGGCTTACAGGGTGTTTGTTTTGAGGGTTTGAAGTTATGAACTTGGACTCTTGTTCTTCAGCTATGGTGTGCTGCTGGTGTGGATCTCACTGGCTGGAAGACACCCAATCAGGAGACTGCAGCTGTGAAGCCCTCCAATGGCTCAGATCCTTTGACTGGTGAAGGTGAAGGCACAGACAGCAAGAGTGAGCAGAGCTCACCAGAGAAAAAGAAGGTAAACGGCTTTTTAAAAAAACAAGAATAAAACACATGAAATTACATGGGGGGAAAAACAACACTTTTGGGAGAGATGTTCAAAGTAAAGTAAAAAAATTTTTTTTAAAGAAATTACTACTTTTATTCAAGGATGCATTAAATTTATCAAAAGCGACAGTTTGTTTTCTGAATGTTTTATAATGTGACAAAACTTTTATTTAAAAAATGCAGTTATTTTGAACTTTCTATTCATCAAAGCATCCTCAAGAAAGTAACATCCTCAACAAAAAATAATAAGCAGCAACATTTTTAACATCGATAATAAGAAATGGTTATTGTGTATCAAATCAGTATATTAGAATGACATCTGAAGGATCATGTGACAGAAGACTGGAGTAATGATTGATGAAAATTCAGCCTTGCCTTCACAGGAATAAATTATTTTAAATAATTGTTTACATATAATAAATATACTAATAATCAATATATATATATATATATATATATATATACTAAATAATTTATTAAATAAAGTAAATATACTCATTTTAAAGTGTATTACAATAGAATTTTTTTTTAAATTTCAATAATATTTCACAATTTTACTATTTTTGTTTATAAAATAAATGCAGTTTAGGTGATTATAAGAGACTTCTTTCAGAAAAAGAAAAAAATGTACATACTCCAAACCTTAGTTTGAACAGCAGTGTAAATACACAGACACACAGTGGGAAAAGTCTGAGAAATTCAGGAAGCCTGAGTCCATGTCAAACTTTTTTAATTCCAATCAAATTTAAACCTGGAAAAAGCAGAAAATTATTTTGCAGCGAAATTTATAGTAAAGAATGTAAAGAAATTCTGTGATGTAAAATGAATACAATTATTTACAGTTCTACACATTTGCTAGGTTTCTAATAAAATAAGCAAATTTATGACACTGATTAAAGCAAAGGGGAGACAAACCAAATACTAAGAAATTCTCAAATTTTTGCTGATTTTTTAGTGAAACGGTTTACTCGATTTATGCTTATAATAACATTTCAGTCATTTTTTTAAAATTACTTTTTAAAGTCATTTAATTGTTTTTTAAATTCACTAGTCACTAGATCAAAAGGGGTCATAGACTTTTGGACCTCACTGTACATCTTTTACATTTTACTGCTTCCCTTTCTTTCTTTAAGTAAGTAAATGCTGGAAGTGAACATCATAATTATAATTTGAATGAACCTGCATCTAAACATTAGTATTTCTTCCTCTTTTAGCCTAAAGAGCTGCTCGAGACCGACTCCATGAGCAGCCGCGTGTGGATACTGACCAGCACTCATTCAGCCAGTAAAGTGGTCATTATCGACGCAAACCAGCCCTGCTCACTGGTCGACCAGTTTAATGTGTGTAATGCCCATGTGCTGTGCATCTCCAGTGTACCAGGTCTGTGTGGTGCTATATACAAACAACCACACTCTCAACTGTAACTGACACTGTAGAAGATGTGTTAACCCTCACTTGTACCCTTCGTGTGTGTAGCGGCCAGTGAGAGTGATTACCCAGCAGGTGAGATATTTCTGGAGCAGCAGGCTGGAGATGGGCCTTCAGAGGAGAAGGGTGGAGTGGAGGGCATGCTGGCGGGGATCACCATCGTGGGCTGTGCCACTAACTGCAGCGTAGTGCGCAGCAACTGCTCGTCTCGCACCGACACACCCGTGCAGGACCGAAGCCAAGGTCAGCAAACTGACTGAAAACGTATGTTAGGCATCTTTGAGACCACATAGTGGGCGTCTTATGTTTTGTGTTTAGCTCCTACAGCTCCAGTGTGCAGAAGCCTAGCAGTGTCACAGTCTGCGGAGGAAGCCACAGAAGCCATTGAGGTGTCCGAGGAGGCAGGGCCTAATGAGAATGAGGAGAGCACACTCGGACCTTTCACCGAGCATGTCTTTACTGACAACACACACAGGTGTCTCACATATAGCCTAGTGAACCACAAAAAAGAACTTTAGATCATAAAGTGCCTACCAGATGCTTTCATAAAAGTTTATGAAAGCTTTTTGCCGTTTTCTAAACCAATCCTCTTTTTCTCACTGCAAAAGGACGGTATGCTATTTGCTGAATACTTTAGGAAATGGTGTAGGCAAGTGTGTTGAATTGAAATGGTCTGCTCTGTGCGTTGTGCCATCAGTGAGGCAGGTGTGCCGAAGGAGCAAGTGACATCAGCCCCCACAGACTCAGAAGAGGCAGGAGACGACCGGGCAGGAACAAGTGCTGCCCCGACCATGTGGCTGGGAGCCCAAAACGGCTGGTCGGTATCATATTTTCAGTTGCATTTTCACATTCTAAATTCTCAATTCTATCTCAAATGGGGTGGGCGATAAACCAGTAGACACGATTAACTGATAGAAATTTGTCAACCAGTAGAGATTTTGGACTATCGTCTCTATCGCGCCGGTTACATGCACATGTGACATTGCTGTGCTACGTGGTCACGAAAACATCGTTTGCAAGTGATTTTAAGCCGCAATCTATTGAAACGCAATCAGCAGCGAAAGAGAACTCAAGCAGTCTGAGAGAGTGTTGTCAGAGAGGCGCGCACGTGAAGACGGTGTTCATGGAGCGCGGGAGTACTGAACAGAGTTATTTTTGACTCTTTATAGTCCTTGAAAGGTTAAATACACACACTTGTATGTGTCAAAATGCCTGTCTTTGCAAGAATCCTCTTAAACACCGTAATTCAGGTCTTAAGTGAAAGCAAACAGCTGAGAAAGAAAACACATGTGTAACAGTACATTGGATCCGGGCAGCTCTTAAAGTGACAGCAGTCTAATATTCCTGCTGTCTATCATTCATGTTAAGGGGGTGGTTGATTGCGATTTCACTTTTTTAATGTTAGTTAGTGTGTAATGTTGCTGTTTGATCATAAACAATATCTGCAAAGTTACGAAGCTGAAAGTTCAATGCAAACGGAGATATCTTTTAAAATTCTGGCGGTTTAATGCCTACAAAAACGGCTGGTAGGGACTACGAGTTACTTCCCGGGTTCGTGACAT